GGGACCAGACGCGGATATTGATGAGTGAATATTTATTTAGACTTCCTGCCGCAAGTACTTCAGGTCGGCGCGGTTCACGCACCACTTGTCCGGAGCAACAGACTCGTGCAGTGCAAGGGCCTGCCACGTTTGATACCGTTTGGAGCCATGCTGCATGGATTTTTTGGATCTCGCCCCTCACAGCTCCGACAATCTGGGCGCAATAGGTCGGCCGAGATGATGTAGATTTCGACTTAAAGGGTTCTCGGGTCTAGACCAGGTGTTCGGCGCGCTTTTCCATTTATGCGCGTCGCTGTGGGGTTTGGGGATTCAGAGTTCAGGCTTCACTCATCCGCAGAAATATCAGGATTACAGTGACGGGTTCCATTGATTCTCTAAGCTTTGAGAAGATCCTAACCCGAGCTTCAGGCGGCTGGGTGAACCACCTCGACCTTGAGCCACGCATCTTTCCAGCAGTCTTGGCACATGTCCTTGCCAAATCCAAAAGGGCGAAACCACTGAGCCTATAGCCGCAACCCCTTTTTAACAAGGGACTCGACTGCTGCCCTTACCGCCCATCTTGACGCACAAGACAGCCGCACCCTGAAGGAGTCATCTCCTCACGGCCAAGCACCCCAAAAATATATGGCAGTCGGCCTGGCCACAGTAGGGGACGCGAATACAGACCCTGAACAGTTGGATCCATACTCGAAGAACCCCCAAAAAGAGACTCAGTAATGCGCAAATCTGTCCTATGCATGAAGCCCAGCAGCTCCAACTACGTACATCCCCCGGCGCATGTCCTATCAAACATGAAGAGATGATGCAACCTGGGCGGAACTCGTCCACCCCAAGCCTCCGATCTCTAAGAATCTTCTGACTCCTTTATGGGTAGTTCCCTAAATTAGGGTCCGTTTTAGGGTCCTGTTTATAAGGTTGCCGTACTGTTTTTATCGTATTCGCCGGCTTTGAGCACATCGCATCCCTCTCCCCGGCTCCTTGGCCATGTCCAACAAGACCTCCATAAAGAGGCGAGCGAGGGTACATCATGACTGTTGCGCCGGATCTTGCTACTTTGTTGTTTTTTTGCTGCAGCGGCCTTAGTCGCATCCCTGTTGCTGCTTCTGCTTCTGCTTCTGGCTTTTATTTATTGCTGTTCCGCTATTTCGTGCTGGCGGCTGCAGCTGTTTCTGGCTGCTGTTTCTACTACAGCTGAAGCTGCTGCTGCCGCAACGGCTGCCGCAGCCGCTGCCGCAGCAGAAACATCTGCCGCTACTTGCACGTCTCCTTCAAACACACCAACAAGCCGCAACCTTGGACTCAACTATGAACTCTAAACCTAAGCACCTAAACCTTCCACCCGAAAGCCTGAAGCCATAAGTGCTAAGCCAGTCGCGGCCCAACTCCCTGCAACGTACCCGACATCCCTCACTATACCCCTAGAATCATAGGGGCAGTCGCAATACTATCCAGGGTGTATCGCGTAATCAAGAGCATGACGAGATTTTATCCTGGGCTCTCGCGCTATCCCTCACAGACTTACGGCCGACAAGCCCTGAAACCATGCTCCAGCAAGCCTTCTATCGCTGAAAAACCGTTCTGACTTCCATATTTCTGTGCTTCAAGAGGCTCTTCGACTTTTAAGGTCCCTAAACCCTAAACCCTAAACCCTCTACGCCCTAACCACCAAGCCCCATAGGCTCTAAGTCTCTAAGTGAAGCCCCTCGAGTCCCGAAGAGTCCACTCCTGCAGCTCGAATCTTACGCTCTGAGCTTTACCTTTTCTCACACCATTGAATAGGAAGTGAGGTACCCGAAATGGCTTGGGTGTAACTATCTATCTATCTATCTATCTATCTATCTATACATACATACATACATACATACATACATATATATATATATATATTCCGTTTACCGCCCTGTGGTGGAAACGCCTCAATCGAGCCAGTAACGTTGCCCTGGCGCGCGAAGGCATTGACCAGGGCCGTGTAAGTGACGACGTTGGCCTTCCGGTTTAAGAGCACATGGGTCTTATAAGGATCGGATGTTGCAAGGGTTTTTCTGAGTGTTTCAACGGTTGGCTCAATTTCGGGCTGTCTTATCTAGAGATTTGTCGCAATAACCAGGACTCTGTTGTCAATTTGCATACAGATACGCATATACAGAGACCTGAGAGCCACACAAAACGGATTTTTCATATTAGGGGTTTAGGGGTTTTGGGTTTAGGGTTTGATACAAACGCTGTCTCTCTCTCTTTCTCTTTGTCTCGCTCTCTGTGTCCTTGTTGACACACAGTTTCTTAGACGGAGTGCATAATTGCTCTGTCCCTCTGTCTCTATACATACGGAAAGGCACACCCAACAAGGTTGACGGTCGCAACCTGGTCTAAACCTGCACCTAAAGAAGGCACACTTTGTGCATCGGGCTGCCTCGCAGAATACCTTGTAATCAGGGTTGTATCGTACTATACAGTATTAGAGTATAGAGTAGTCATACAACAGCTGAGACTCTAAAACTACCTCGTCGCCTAAGCTGCTAAGCTCGAAAAAACGTTTACTGCAGGATCCAGTCCCTTCCAACTGTCAAAAAATGAAAAGCTCTTGTTACAGGAGGTCAGAACGGCATGATGTGATGTGGTGTTTTATGAAAAGCAGACACTGCCCAACATAAACCCTGCTAGATCCCGTCCTACAAACCTTCATAGGATCCTAAAGTTCCAGGAAGAACTGAAGTAGGCGCCTTCAGCCCACGCGAGACCATTTCCCGGAACCTGAGATTTGGCTAAGGGTCTTCGATTGGCTCACATACTGGCCTTAAGTATCAGAATCTCTCTTGGCGTCTATTGTACAATATGACCACCCTTGGACGGTTGATTCAAACCCCGGAAAAGCCAGACCCCTCCGTTCAAAACACAGAGCCATTATTGAACACTCAAGTTTATATATACTAGGACTCCTACCATGCAAAAAAATCTACAAAAATGTTTGGATAAAGCCTGGCAGAAACTTTGTTGTAAGAGGGCTATACAATCTGGCTAGGAACCCTATAATATAAGACCCCATAGATTCCATGCGAAAGACATCACAAAAGCCTAATGAACCCCAAGACCCCGCTTGAAGCCCATCTAGGCCCTAGGCTGGACTTCCTAAGCTTCAAAGAAGGTAGCCCTGAATAATGAGACCTTTGTTATACTAGCCACAAAATAAGTAGGGGCACTCCTTGGGCACCGGCGAATCATCCAGCGAGCCGACTTAGAACAGCCCCCGAGAGTATGATCCTTTGTCAAGTCCAATAAGCGGCTTCAAGACTTCCGTCTGAAACCCCAAATCCCCAAAACATAAGACCTCGAAACAGAATCACAGCTGACAGGGCTGCTGCCCAGCCCCTTAGACGATCTAAGAACCCCAACAAGGTATCAACCCATAATATGGGTTAGGACTAAGACTTCTTTTAGCAGTTCTTTTTCGCAGTAGTTTTCTATTTGGGCGGGTGTGGGGTAATACGGCTTACGGCTTGCGGTGCAGAGATGCAGCCCGCGAGAGAAGGTTGGGAAAGTAGTCTCGCCTTTCGGGGTTTCGGGTTTAGAGTTTGGTTCAAGTTCCCTCTCTTTCTCTCTCTCTCTCTCTCTCTCGCTCTGTGCCGTTGCATCCAGAGGTAGTTCATGTCTTATCATTTACACAGGATCCGCGTGTCCGTGTCCCTCGCGAAGCCAAACCGATCGATAGTTCCAAGATTTAAACAGCAAAAGCACAATTTCGACTCACACACTCGCACAAAGCAGGCATGGCAGGTTCGGTCCGAGTTTGCTACTTGTACATGTTACACACCGTGCCAGGCAAACGATATAAAGGGGTACGTAGCAAATAGATAGGAAGTAAGCAACAACAGTATCAGCCGGGTGTGATGACAATGTACGCATTCCTGGGCCAGGGGAATACCACACAAAACCCTAAACCCAATACTACGTTCTGGGATCCGAGAGGCTCATAGCTCTTGGGGGCCTAAGAGGCTCATAGCTCTTGGGGGCCTAATTTTGGGGGCCTAAGAGGCTCATAGCATCTGGGTTAGTGACTTCGCAAGCTTTGCGAGCAGGCTGCAGTGCAGACGCCTCCGCAGCATCACCGGCCTGCGGATTTGGGCGGCCGTGCAGGGCCTAGTAGGGTTCAAGAAGGGGCAGCAACTAGAACAGATTTGGGGGCTACAATGTAGTATAAGTAAACTAGGACTATCAGGTGATCTTATTCCTAAATTCTTCTGACCTCTCCATTGCGCGACGGGATGAGGACTTTGTAAGTCGGTTCTGCTTGCGGCCATACATACCCTAATGACTACCGAAGATGTGTCGCAAATCCTACGAAGTCCGGTAAGCCGCTGGCAGGGCACGAGGGCTTGTGCTTCATGCAATCCGGCCGTGTTCTCAGATCGGGTTCCGGGTTGGAAGCCGGACCGGATGTGGTTCCAGTGTGCTGAATCGGCGTTAATTGCTATGATGAACCGATCGTTGCTCTAATGGAGGAATTACCACATGTAGAAGAGCACAATATGCACATGAGGCTCTTACATCTACCTTCTCAGCTTCAGGTTTGGGGCTTCTGATAGAAGAGCATCCGAACTAGGGCATGCCTGTAAAGCTCAAGCTACCGTAATCCGGTTAGAGTTTCCTTACTATGGTAGCTACAACTAGCTTCCTTGACACGATCCCGACCAGACCTTGCTGGGATTGGGGAACCTTTAGCTTGATGAGACACGAAACGATCTACACTGGCCCTTGAGAACAGAGCTGGGTGGAGGAGTCGGTTTTAACAAAGGAGTCAAGAAGTTCGTCAATTCAGAGCTTGAGCTTAGAGTCTCTTCCTGCATGTCAGGTTGCGACTAGCTCCGTCCTGTTCCGTACCTGTTGCTTTGGGTGTTGTAGCGCTTGCAAACTTACCTGCGAGGAAAGCTGCCAAAAGGTTATGTGTGCAAAACAAACACTCTGGCAGTCTTTTGAACTGGCTCTGATCACTGAAGCTTTCCATGTCAGAGGTCGTCTTTGCGGCGTAAGCGTTCAGCACTACGCTGTACGAGGGAAACCCCCATCGTTGGTGGCATCGGTGGGAGCAACTCGAACCGGTCCACACGTGGAAATGCTTCATCTGGAACGGGCTTGCCCAAAAAGTCGCACAAAGGTGTCCAGCCATCCGAGAGGTTGAAGAGGAGCAGGCGCTCTTTGGGAATGGTACGGAGGACCTTCTCCTTAGTTCCCCTATACCCAAGGAAACAACAAAAGTTTCAATTGAGAGTAGTGCTAAGCTACCAAGCAACCAAAACATCGCAATTTTGAAAGCGTGCTGACTTCTAGGAACCGAAAAAGTTTAAATTAGACAGCGGAGAACCTGAGACGAAGACGCCTCTGTGGGACAATTGTAAGAACCCTGACTTGTGAACCCGGAGAAAACTGATGCTGGCAATGAAAACCCAGATCCTTTACAAGGATCCAAAGCCCTGAACACTAAAACCATAACCTCCGACTTCCTGAACCCTCAACCAATTCCCCTAAACCCTTAACCCGAGATCTCTCAACCTAAACCCTAAACCTAAACCCCTAAACTGTAAACCAGAGCCCAGGCGCTTTGTGTTGTTGGAATCCTTTCAAACATCGCGCCCGGACCTCTGGATCGTTGCGATCGTCCTGGGTTTACTCTGAGAGGGGCATGCCGAGCAGGTAATTAGGTTCCGCTGCAAGAGACGACTTACAATCAAACAAACTCCTTATACCGCGGATGACACCCTAAACCCTAAACCGTGGACTCAGCTGGACCTGTGCGGAAGGGTTTGGGGCTTGCTCCACAGCTGGGCAACTGTTTCAGGCTCAGGGTATTGTAGCCTTGGCGTTTTGAAGTATGGGCTTCTGACTTCGGTTTTCGACGGTTGATTAGCCTCATTTTGGCTTTGGGATTTGCGATGAAGAAACAGATGCTCCAAAAACCGCAGTAGAAGACAACATCAGATAAGATATGAGCTGTAACACGCCATTATATAATACGATATGGTTCAACATGAAATGACAAACTATCATGCTACCATTTGTCGTCTTGAAAATATTACGAAAACTATTATAACATAATACAGTGTGACATGATGACATGCTTTCGTACATGCTTTCGCACGCCACAAAAAACATATACCAAACCCAAAATGCCAGTCCATACAAGTTAACATACTGTAGCACAACCTAAGAAAACATAATTCAACAGGCTTAGATAAGAGATACTCACACTAGAAAAAGGATAGCATAAGAAACTGTACATAGCCATATCTTTCCATACAGCAAAAAAACAACACGACAATATACTGCACTCTAGTAATACACAGCAGAATGCAATATGGCACGATGCATGACAATATGACATAAAAACAGCACAGTGCAACAAACGGTTTCACAGTTACAATCCAGTAAGCTTTGTTGTACAAGATGAAACATAATGCAATATTCAAGAATATAGTTTTACAGTGGCTTAAGCATGGAATACAATATGTTTTAGCGCAGTAAGAACATAGAGTGTCTTATCGCACAGTGAGAACATAGAGTGCCTTATCACAAAAAATTAATGCAAACAGCAAAATAAAATACGATTGCTGTATTATGTACGACAAGAAAAAACATCAACAGATTAGGTAAGAACAGACAACCTAATATCAAAGTTCATGATATAAGGTGGAATATACCCGGTATAAAAGTGGATTTATAAGACAGGATAAGATGAGAGACGATGAGTTAGCACAGCGCAAGCTCATGACAGACCATATGAAGCCAGAAGATGAAATGCATTGCAATGTGAAATGATATACTGAAGTACGAACACTGTAACAACCTACCACTAAATACACTGTTGCATAAAAGCGAGCTGTCACAAGATATTTTGCGAAACGCTATAATACAGTGTAACAAAATATATAACATAACCTCGCACAATGTGCGATAAGGAAGCATTACTACATACCAAACGAAACATAACACCACATCACGTGCTGTACAGTGAAAAACTGCAATACAAAATGATACTACAGAGCTTATGACTTAAAAGCTAAACTGTGTTACAGTTGAGTGCAATATATCGTGATATCTGAATATAGCGATTTCAAGATATCTCAACAGAATAAGGTCCAATAGTCGTAATATGATAAGATATAGAACCTGAAAGACTAACATAAGAACACATGATATAGTAAGCCAGAAACACCTTATTCAACAGTATGTTATTCAACCATGTCAAGTTTCTTACGGTAGAAGTGGTAGAGTACTACGTGACATGGTCAGTTGATATACAGACATATATTCGAAAAATATACGACACGTTTCGAGAAAATAGGACACAGTAGAAAAAACACACTATAACTCAATGCTATGTTTGTTTTATTATAACAGAATACATTAGCTAGCATAGCACAGTATCCTTTGCCATAAAACAATACACGGTTATATACTATATGACTAAGCTACGATATGTGGAAGAATGCAATTAACATTATAGTTTAGAATCGTTATGAAGAAACAAATGCCAATATATCTGTAAACATGAACATTGAATCATTGTTACATGTGTACATATACATGCATACCTATTTTCTGTTGTAGTAAGGCAGTACAATTCAGCATAGTATATAAGTATTTTCTATCATATAGCGTCATACAATACAACATGAGAGGAGTAGAACAGACTGGGAAAAACAACAGAGACTACTCTTCACCTGCGACCGGGGCAAGGCAAACGACTCAGAGCGTTTACACTACGTATGATAATAACAGCAGGCCTACGCCTCCTACTACTACTACTACTACTACTTCTACAACAACAACAACTACTACTACTACTACTACTACTGCTACTACTACTACTGCTACTACTGCTCCTACTACCACTACTTCTACTTCTACTTCTACTTCTACTTCTACTTCTACTTCTACTACTACGCATAAACCCTGAAGCCTCAATTGCAGCCCAGGCGCCAGGTTCTCAAATCGGCAGCCCCATGCATGGACAGAGTTGCATTCCCAATACTCTGATTGAAATCCCTCCATCTTGTCTACGTCATTGGGGTTCTTTGGCGGATCCTCTCCGGCCTGTCTGTGCGATGTCTTGCCATCCGACCAAGGAGAGAAGTTGGTTAGGGTAGTTGCTACTAGTGGTACCATATTTACTACTACTCGTGTTATTAGACTTGTAGTATTACTATGATTACTATTTTTGAGAGTATGAACAGCACTATTGTTATTATTATCATTCCTGTTCTTACGATTTCTTACAGATTTTCCTACTAGTCACGGTTTAGGGCTTGTGGGTTGGATGTTTCGACTATTGAAATTCGTTCGGGTATCCCTTGAGTCCTCGGCCTTTTGTAAAGCCACCATGCGGTTCATGGGCTCTTTGAAATGGAGAACCGGAGGAGCGTGACGGTCATTGGAACCATAATACCTTACGTGTCCGGCTTCCTATGGGAATTAAATTAAAGGTTCACCTTCGAGATTAGATAATCATGGTAATTATAGCCTAAAACCAGATAGGGGCCACGAACCCGAATGCAGACACGCGCAACGCAGATATCGTCAAAAAAATAACTACAAGGAAAGGCATATTCATACGACCG